TACACTTGGGGTTGCTTTGTGTACGAGCTGTTTTAGTCGATCCATTTCACAGTTGTTCACTGTTTTGTTTGTTTTATTTCTGTGCTGTTAACCGTGGTTTATTGATGTACTTGTACTTGTACACACTGGGGACTTTAGCCAATGTGCAAATGGTAAATATATGAATGTGTGCAGACCCACACACATTGTACACACACACACAAACACACACACACACACACATTCCGTCACTCTTCCCTGCTCCATGGCCATCAACACTTTGCTGATTTTGGCCAGCTCCAGTGTCCCCTCTGGTAGTCTGTAATATTGCCTGTGGATGCGAATGTCATGGCCGAGGAAGTTGGCAAGTATGTCCATCTCATTCTCTTTCATATTGAGAACTGTAGACATAGTAGCTATGTGCTTTCTAAGTTTGGTTGAGGATAGCATCTCTGGATGCACCGCACCACATTCTTTGGCTACCTGGCGTAGGGAGTCTGATCCCCTGATGTGGGTGTCTGCGCCCGGGCGGGAAAAGAAGTATGGGTTATGGTCAGAGATGGAACAGGCCCTTCTGTTCTCCACCAGCACCTCCATCGAAGCAATCATTTCAGGAGTCAAAAGAACCGGCACTTTCCGACTTCTTTTCCCTTTAATTTCAATGCGTTGAAAATGCTGACACAGCTTTTTCTCAAGTTGGGACAGTCCCAGAGCAATGTCAGAATGGATCCCAGTCTTAATTCTTAAGGTAAACGCTGTCAGTGGCATCTTTGAAACCTCACCTTCCCTTCTTCGATTGAAAATAATGACCTCACAAAGAGTCAAAACTGCCAGTTTAGACCAATGCTTAGACGTTGGCTCACTTATTAGGGTTTGCACATATTCAGGTCGACATACCTCAATATGTGCATGCATGGCTCTAACGTCCTCAGTCAGAGGGAGCAGGTCCGGAGTGTTCCACTTGGCTTGCCGGAGGGTCTGTAGGGCAGCAGAAGAAACACAGACGTCCCACCTCTTCTCAAAAAGCAGCCGGCTTCGTTGGAGGTTTTTAATAAATAGTTCATCAACACAATGCTCCATTTTTGAGTCACATTCAAGAATATCTGCTAGCTTTCTGAGGCTATGGCCGAGTTTGAGGGCCAAGGATGGAGTCTTGTATTGATTTGTTTCCTCATCATATCCAGCCACAGACCTGACTGCATCAATCACATGGTTAAAGTTGGAAGGAATAAAGAAATCCTTAATTGTTTTCAGTTTCCCTGCGGTTTTTGCTTCGTTAATTAACCTACCGACTTCTCTCATTTTCTGCCTAATGTAATCATGCTTTGTCTTATCATGCCCGTGTTTTAAGTACAGGTGCTCTCCGAGTCTCAGAATCCCCTTTTCTGCTTTGACAACACCCGTGACCTCATCCTGATGCATTGCCGAAATTAAAGACCACAGCTTTTTGCTGATGCCCTCCGGTACAGGCTGGGCTAGGGAGCAGAGGGACTGGACCCTACTTCTACCTGGTTTAGCCTGGGCATCTTTCTGTGAAAGCCGGCACCTGGCCACATGCCTCCACAGCGACTTTCGCTTAAGCAATGCCCCACAGTCTATACAGTGCAAAAACTCACTGGATTTAACTGGGCAATTTGGCTGTTTAGCTGGGACTAAAGTTCCAATGCCGGCCTTTAAAACCTCAAAATTGTGCTCACGGTTTCCACTATTCCTGATCAAATCAAACTGAAGTTTACGTGCTTTAGATTTCACAGGTAGAGCCAATGCTCTGGCTACGTCACTTTCATTTCCATGTTTTCTAGTCAAATGACGGGACATTTTGTGGCAGGACATTGAACAGTAGAGGCAGAAGTGTCTCTTGCTGTATACTCGCCCCCCATTTTTCTTCTTTTGCAGCTGCATGATAACAATCTTATTTGCCTTTGGTTCGTCACTTTCCGAGTCTTGAAGAAAAGTGTTTTTGATTTTTCTTTTTCCATACTTTTTTACAGGTTTCTTCTTGACAGTTAAATCGTCAGAATCTGAGTCGACTTCATCAATTAGGGACTCTTGACTAAGCTGCACAAACAACAAATAATTTGTAATCATTCTATATAACAGACATGACATTTGAAGTCATGACTTGTAGTCAGCACTTACCAGTGGTTTGTAAGCGTGCGCTTCAGTGTGCTCCTCCATGATTTCTTGCAGCCTAATGAACCACACACTTGCACCTTTTTCTAGCCTGACACCTGATTTCCTCTGTTGTGCTGCTCCATGATTGGCTCCAGCCTGCTGGACTGAAATTGCCCCAGTGTGCCCCTCCTTGATATTCCGCAACCCACCACCAGGGTTCCGACACATAACACACTTTTTTCAGGAAAGTAAACCTCCAGGGGTCCTTTCCATATTTTTACAGAGACTGCATAAGGACCGTTAGAAAAGCATTACCCATTGATTATTAAGCTTGGACCAGTGGGGTCCGGTGTTCGGGCCCCACCACGTAAAACCAGTCCCCATGACGTGAGTGGAATCTCAGGTTATGGAACCCACCAGGAGTTGAAAACAAGTGCACACACACACACACACACACACACACACACACACACACACACACACACACACACACACACACACACACACACACACACACACACACACATCCTGGGAGAGAAAAGTGAAAGGATCTAAAACCAGAACAAATAAATAAACATCCAAAATCCAAAACCTTTGTGTTGTTTTTTTCCCGGGGTGAGAGGAGAGTGGGGCAGTTCTCACCTATAAAAAACAATCCCTGATTCAGCTGAGACACAACACGAGCGTTTGGGCCAAATCAGCAGAACTATCTTTATCCAGAGAGTCCTGTGCTCTGCAGTCTCCAACTCTGTGATGTCACACATTATCACTGCAGAGACTGAGACACCATCGTGCGACCATGGACCGGGCCTTCATGGTGCTTTATGGTACTTACAGATGGATCAGTCCAAACTAAACGGTACCATTGGTCAATCTATGAACTGAAAATCTTTGTACCTAAACATTCTGTAATACACTGTAGTTTAATGATTAATGTTTGGATAAAACTAGAATCATTCTGTAATTATAGATTATACTTTATTAAAACACAAACCTTATGGACGTAACACTTTGTCCACTTGTTACGTCCAAAACGTCTGCAGCGCCCTCCACTGGACCAACAAGGAACTGAACCACAGTCTGTGAACATTCAGCAGCAGCAGCTGTGGACATTTAGGGACTTTTATGTCTCGCTGACCCAAATGTAACACATAGGTACAGTTTAGTGTAGAGTACAGGGACCGGCCTCCTGCTGGGACTCTGAGGAGCACAGGGACCGGCCTCAGAGTCCCAGCAGGAGGCCGGTCCCTGTGCTCCTCAGAGTCCCAGCAGGAGGCCGGTCCCTGTACTCCTCAGAGTCCCAGCAGGAGGCCGGTCCCTGTGCTCCTCAGAGTCCCATGTCACTGCTTTAAAGTCTATTCTCTGAGCCACAAGAAGCCGATGCAGAGACCTGGGAACTGGACTAATGTGATGGTACTTCCTGGTTCTAGTCTGGACTAATGTGATGGTACTTCCTGGTTCTAGTCTGGACTAATGTGATGGTACTTCCTGGTTCTAGTCTGGACTAATGTGATGGTAAATCCTGGTTCTAGTCTGGACTAATGTGATGGTACTTCCTGGTTCTAGTCTGGACTAATGTGATGGTACTTCCTGGTTCTAGTCTGGACTAATGTGATGGTACTTCCTGGTCCTGGTCTGGACTCGGTCTGCAGTGCCCAGACTAGGACCATGAACGCAGCAGAAAGAACCATATGTCTTCTTTACGCAGTGACGAAGTGATTCTCATCATCATCTGTTAGAAGCTTTTTCCCCCTGGTTTTGGAAGCATTGCTAACCGCGAACACAAACCTCCCAGAGTCCCACGAGCGGCGGATTGTAATGTAGTGCACGGAGAAGCGCTGACAGATGACGGATGAGCCGGACTCTCATTACAGCCTCTGCCCAGGTGCCCTCCAGCAACGCACTCATCAAACCATCAGCATCCGGCGCCTTCTGGTCCCGTCAGTCACAGACAGAACTCTGGGAGTCTCTGCAAAATACATTCAAATAATTGATCCTCCGGGATTTAGGCCAGAGGAAGACTGTGTCGGGGATCGCAAACATAGAAGCTGGGATTTGGGATTTGAACCTGGTAGAGACTTGGTAGAGACCCGGTAGAGACCCGGTAGAGACCTGGTAGAGACCCGGTAGAGACCTGGTAGAGACCCGGTAGAGACCTGGTAGAGACCCGGTAGAGACCTGGTAGAGACCCGGTAGAGACCTGGTAGAGACCCGGTAGAGACCTGGTAGAGACTTGGTAGAAACCTGGTAGAGACCCGGTAGAGACCCGGTAGAGACCTGGTAGAG